AAGAGATGTTAGTTAAAGAATATAAACCAATTCACGAATTTGAAGGAGTTAAACCTCCTTCAGCAACACGATTAATGTATAGTTTTAATGGATCGGAATTTGAGACAAATGAAGAATTTAAAATGTTTAAGAATATGATAATTGATTTTTATCATAATGACGTTAATGAGAAATTAGTTGTAGATGAATTAACTGCTATGATGGTTTTTACTGTTGTAGAAGGAAAGATTTATATGACTGTTTATTATATTAAAGCTACATCAACTTCTATTGAAAGTCATGAAGTTGGACCTCGTATTGTCATGGTACCTGGCAGAAACAAATTTGGAGCTGAAGATATGAGAGAAGAAGCAATGAGAGTTCCACAAGAACTTGTTGCACCAAAGAAAAAGAAGAACGTTTCAAAAGATATGTTTGGACAAACTATTGGAAGGGTACATGCTATTAGTGAAGATTTAGAACATCTAAATAAGAAAATTAAATTACCGAAGGCTTTGAGAGAATCAAAGAAAGAAAAAAAAATGAGTAAGAAATAATTGATTGGTGATTACATTTTTTTAATTTATTCAAAAAATTATTTTTCTATTCATATTTTCTGATGAAAATGTTTTTTTTAGAAACTAACTTCTTTGAATCATAGAAAGAGAAAATATATATTACTTAGGAGATATATTACAATAAGATATTACATGTACTGAGAGTGAATGGGTTTGGTGATTCCAATACTTTTTCTTTCAATTGTATTTTTCATATCAAACATAGTGTAGTACAATATGAATAATCTAATCTATCTTATAGTCCATTCTAATCATTATTATTTTATCTTTTTGTTAAATGTTATCATAATATTTTGTTGCAATATAATTTTAATTTAAATAATTGTTATATTCTAAATAATTGATTATATATTAATTATATTATTATTAGTATTTTATTAATTATTTATACAGTATCTTCTTTATCTAATTTATAATATTTTTCTTTCAATTTCATTATATTATTTGATAAATATAACTTAATTCATTATTTCTTTCTTGACGAGTTAGATATAATTAATATATCCTTTATTATCAATCTTTTGATGATTAAATTATATTCTAAAATGAAATGAATAATCATAAACAATTATTCCATTGTTATATATTATAATAACAATTTTATTTGCCATCATTATCTGGTTATTGTTTGTCATTAACACTGTTTGTATTGAAATCTCTATAAATCCAAATTTTGAATAAGTATATAATAATACTGATTTTATTATATAATAATGTTATTTAAAATTCAATAAACATAAATGATATTTAATAGAATGATAAAATAATAAATAAAATGAAGTGTTATAAACGTGTATTTAAGTATTTAATCATCTTATTTTAATCTGATATTTATTAAATTAAAATGGAAGAGGTAATAAACAAGAACACTCATTTCTTTAAAGAAGAAATAGAAACAATTCCAAATATTCAACAATCAATTGATGATATTAATAAACATTATCATTATTATTTAGGAATATTAAAAAGTATTTGATTTTGTGGTGTTCTTTATTTTCATATCTTTTGTAAACTGCCTTTTCTCATTATTTACTCTTTTTCTTTCTTTAAAATTATCACTTCAAACCATTCTTTTATTTTTATATACCTACTCATAATTTTTATTTTTCTTTGCTATTTTTTTAATACTCCTTTGTTTTTATTCTTCTTAGTATTTTAGTAAATGTTTAATTCATTGATGAATTATTTATTGGCTATTATCTTCCTGTAATATTGTCTCTATTGCTCTTTACCTTTTTGGTTATTCTCAATTTTCTTATTCATTGTCTTGTTAATTCAATTATTTTTGTATTTGCCTATTCTTATTTTTCTTTCCCTAGTTTATTGTGTCTCTTAATACTTTCATCATATTGTTACATTTATTTCTTAATTTTTGATATTTTTTTAGTTTCTTATAAATTTTCCTTAACTTTTTAATTTAGCTTTACACTATGAGTTTCTTGTTTGTTTTTAATTTCTTCAAATATCCTTCGAATTTGGATAGACTTAATTTCACTTTTTGATTTGTGTTTCATGTTTTCTTTCAATTTCTCTACCCTGTTTCTTTCCTCTTATGGACGTGTCATTATTTTTGTTCATGTCCATACTTACTTCTTATTTTTTGTGCTATTCTTCTACCACTACACCCTTTTCACATAGTCTCTCATTCTTTATTCTTTACTGTTTTGTATTATGACTTATAATAGAGTACACGGTAATTAACTAAATTGAGTGTGGCCATACATAATTTAGAGCCCAGTCTCAAAGGACGCATTTATAATTACCGAGCAAATAAAACAAAGAAGGTTGTTTCTTTATACTCTCTTATTAGTTTTATTGTGAGTTATAAGCTAACGTCAAGTATTTAATTTATTTTTGTAAATAAGGGAGATTCGATTTTAGATTAATAGGAAATAACTCGAAATAACAAATCAAAAGAAAATTGATATCTAAATTTTTGTGGTTGACAAGAATCACGATGAAGTAATTAGTATAAAATGTCATTTAAATGAATACAATAGAAAATCATATAAATAAAAAGAAAAATGAATCAAAAAAAAAGTATTGGGTAAAATTTTATAAATAATGTTTAAAAGAAAATGATATTTTTAAAGAAAGTTTTGTTAGTTTTTAAAAAGAGACGTAAGTATTTTTCATTGATAAATATAGTTTTATTTCTATTTTTATAAATATTAAATAATAATTATAAATAAAGAATGAATTAATAAAATACAATTTATTTAATTACCAAATTTATTGTTTTGCCGATTCTTCATTCGAAAATAAAAAAAGATAAAACTAAAAATTAAAAATGAAAAAATTATAAGATTTTTAAATAATGCATAACGAAGTAGATAACCAAGAATATCCTAAAGTATGTCGTATTTGTTTAGATCTTAATAGTGATGAAGAACTTATTGCTCCATGTGGATGTGATGGACCAAACAAATGGGTGCATAGATCATGTATTAATGCCTATAGAATTTTTTGTAATGATCCTGTTGCTTTTGGAAAGTGTTTACAGTGTGGAGTAGATTATACATTTAAACATGTTGTTGAACATTCTGTTCCATGTTTAATTACTAAGTTTATTTTTAAATTAATCTTTCAAGTATTATTCTTATTCCTTGCAATTTGCTTATTTGTATTTATTTCTGGAATAATTCCATATGCAATTGATAATTATTCTACTCATTATTTCTTATCAGAAAATGATAGTACTTGTCATTTTTTCTCTGACCCTTATTTCTTTGTTAGAGATATGGTCTTAGGACTTGCTCTTGATTGTTTTGTTTTAGGACTCTGGAGTATCTGTGGAATGATTTCAAGATGTCTATGTGGAGAACATAAAGATACTATTGATGAAGAATTGTCTTATACTGATACTCAACGTTTAGGAGCTTGTTGTAGTCTTTCATTATGTTGTATGCCATTTATTTATAAAAGATCTATATTATCAAGGTATGGATGTTGTTATGGATGTTTTATGTTTCCAAATACTTGTCCTAATTGTCATGATTGTATGGGATGTGGATTATTAACTTGTATGTGTTGTGATTGGTGTACTGATTGTTGTTATGTTTCTCCTTATCATCGTTCAATACATAATGGTAATTGTTGTGTATTAAGTTGTTATCTTTGTGCTGAAGGTTGTAGAGATTGTGCAACAACATGTGATGCATGTGATACATGTACAGGATGTAATAGTTGTGATAGTTGTAATTGTTCTGGATGTAAAGGAGATTGTAAAGGAGGAAACAGTGGGTCAGGTTTAGGAGCAATAGGAATTTGTATATTAATAATCATTGGTATTATTATTTGTATAGGTGCTGTAGTAGGAACCTTTGCTTTTATTATACTTCTTTGTTATCTTGTTAGATTGAATTTCAGTTATATAAAGAAACAAGCAGAATCTGAAGTCTATATCATCGATAATTGGGATGAGTCAATTCATCCAATGCCAACTCGTGAACCACCAGTTCCTGTTTATTATGACCAACAACCAACATACGAAGCTCCAATAGTAAAGCCTCAAACAGTTAACATGGCAGTATTTAATCAACAAACGGTTGACCAAACTCCATTATTAGGAGTTGATATTAATCCTACAATGGCTAGTGTCCCACCTCCATCGAATCAGTATTATTAACAAACTAATTAATTAACTTTTATTTCTCACTTAAATTAGTTTGTGTTCCAAAGAAAAATAATTAAAAAGTAATAAAAAGAATAATTAAAAAGAGAAAACATTAATTTTACAAACACTAACTTATTCTTCCTTATTTTTAATAAGCTATTTATTCTTTTATCAAGTTAATAGATTAGAAATAGAACAATTAGGTTCTAAGGAAATAAGTTAAATAAAAAAAAAGAAGTAAGAAAATGAGAATAAAACAAAAAGTTTAATTTATTTTATCAGTGTTAATAATTTTATTCATTAATAGCAATAAATTAAACAAATTTCAGTGTTATTCGAACAGAAGTGGTTAGTTGTTGTTAGTTAACTAGATTAAGTCAACATAAAAAGAGTATTTATAGTAATATTCTATTATTTATTCAAATAAAACTATGGAAAAGAAGTCAAAGAAAAAATTACCAAAATGAAAGAAGATAAAATAGATGGAATGGTATTATCTATTAGAAGTTGGATTAGAATTATTATTTCAAAGTCTATTTGAAATAAGAATAGAACTATAGTCTAAGTTTGGGACAAAGAGAAAAATTCATTTAAAATATTTTGATAAAATTTATTTGTTTGTCATAATCAACAAGAAACTAAAAATTGGGTAGAAAAAAATAGAAATAGAGCCAGAGTATATGGTATTATTGGTTTACCATTAGTTTTTAGTGTTAAAAAAGTGGGTGAAGAGTTCTAATTTTGTTTATAGTTCTATTTAATGTTATCATAAACATAAATAATTCATACACAAGGGTTATTTAGATTAACTTGTAGTATTGGTGAACTTAAACTATTCAAAGAAATAAGAGAGTTAGATAAAGGTATTGGAAGTGATTTTAGTGGTGAATGTGTAGTTATTGGAACATTACAAAAAAGTTGTTTAAAGTTAATGGTAGAACTAGTCATTTCTTTTAATAAAGCAATAGACTTTAGTCATTGAAACAAGACCCCTAGTCCTAAACATTTAATTGACTCATTACCTATTCTAAATCAAATACCACTCTATTTATTCTTCTTCAATTTTTACAAGAAATTTGTTCTAATTAACAAGAAAATATGATAACTTTTCAAAATATATCAATTTGCTTCATTCTTTGTGTTTGTAGATTACCTGAAATCAATTCACAAGATGAGATGAGTTTTAGTGTAGAGTGTATTTCTTCTTTTGAATTTATACTAGCAAATTTGATTCTTTATTTGAATCTATTGAAAAAAAGAAATGAAACATTTAGAACAGAATTTCTTATGGAAACTGCTTTTAGTTATGAACCACATATAGATTATGGGGCATTCTATATAAAAATAAATTGATTTCAAGAACTAGAAGAGATTCTAAAAGGTTATCTGTTTTTCAAATTGTTCATAGAATGAGTCTATAAGCCCTATTATTAGAGAAAATTGAATAAAGGAAAAACTGAGTCTATCTGAAATAATGATAACCAAATAATATTTGTTCATTAATCAAAATCACCATTACTTAAAGTTAGTGTTGATCTATTTGAACAACCACTAAGACCAACACCAGAACTGTTACAAGAAAATGAATCAAAAAAGAAAGAGATATTTACACATAGAATTAAAAGACATTCAATAGAATTATTTTCTGAAATATTGAAAAATGAAGAAAATTAAATAAGTTTTAAATGATAATTTTCTGTTGTTTCAAGAATTAGTATGATTCAGTTAATTCATTTATTGTTTTACTTTATCTCACAACAAGGCTCAATTTCATGCATTGTTTTTGTAAAACATTTGTTATGATATCTTTTATGACAAACACAGCATTCTAAATCCATACAATTTTGTCCACAAACACAACAGGTTCCAACTATTTCTGACTTAATAATATTATGACGTTGTAACTTTGTACCAAAATCGTATAATTCTTTATTACTTAATATAATCATCCTACAATCTCTTTTATGTCGAGATTCTGCTAAACAAATAGAGTCTATCATAGATACTTTTATTTCTGCATTATACACAATATTTCCTAATGATGAAATAATACTGTAATGTGTTCTTCCAGCAATAAAAACATAATTTCCATAAACTTTCATTATTGATGGTGTAAAATTCATTGGAATAGTTTTTATTCGTTGATAATTGAAAGAAACAATTCCGATTTGATTAAACATAGGCATAGCAAGCCAAATATTATTATTACAAATAGTAAATGCTGAAATATCATTTAAAGCTGAGTCATTATTTTCTTTCTCTGTCATAATTTCATAACTATTTATTTTCTTATTTTTAAGTGAAAACAATAACGTTCCTACAATATATGGATGAGTTCCAAAGTCATAATTTATTTTTTTAACAAAAGTAATCTTTTCATTACCAAATATATATAATTCCTTGGTTTTATTCATTATATAAATATCATTAATACTTGGAATGAAAAATTTAAATTCTTCAAACTTGATAAATGTTGATGTTCTTTTACGATAAG